AAATAAAATGAATAATTATGAACCTCTAATGCCCTGGCGGTGTAGTGGTTACATGTTGGGCTACTAACCACCAGGTCAGCAGTTTAAAACCATCAGCTGCTCTGCGGGAGAAAGATGAGGCTTTCTATTGCCACAAAGAGTGTTCAGTCTTGGAAACCCACAGGGAGAGTTCTACCCTGTCCTAGAGGGTCTCTGAATCAGCATCGACTTGACAGCAGAGAGTTAAGTTATAACCAAGTCTGTGAGATTTAAAATACAATAAAAAACCAAGGTGATGATTCTCAGTAGCTCATTAGATCTCTTTCATGGTGCCTCCAGGACAGTGGTTCTCAACCTTCCTAATGCCACAGCCTTTTAAACACAGTTCCTCATGTTATGATGACCCCCAACCATAAAATTATTTTTGTTGCTACTTCATAACTAATTTTGCTACTGTTAAGAATCATAATGTAAATATGATATGCAGGATGTCTTTTCATTGTTACAAATTGAACATAAAGCATTGTGATTAATCACAAAATTTATAATTATATATTATGAAATATTTATTTCTAAGGACAAATAAATGAGATTTTGTCTTGAAGCATGGTGCAGCATGGGTAACAGTCTTCATGCCGGGTACTCGTGTGGGGACATATCTGCATGTGGGCGCATCTACCTGGAGTCGGATAGAGAAGCTGTGTCTCGTCATTCGACCCCCAAAGGGGTAGCGACCACAGGGTGAGAACCACTGCTCTAAGAGGCCTGAATGGCCAGGCTTTCCGTGATTCATCAAGCTAATTGTTTGCACTACTGTGGAACTCCTCAGGAGAACTTAGAGCCAGGCCGCATCTGCTTTATAATCACAGTGCCAACACAAGTTGAGTTACCTCGGAGAAGTGACTTAGCCAATTCTCTCGGAATACTTGGGAGGGTAATTGTGAGCATTAAACAGTAAAATTGTACTGAATTTTCACTTTACACACGATGGACACCTGGTGACCTAGGAGTTTTCCTTTCTTGTTTACCTTAAGTTTATCGCAAGTTAATATGCCTCTTTTTTTCTCTATCTGAAATATAGTATTTCTTTTAGCTTGGTCCAGTGGCTCTGTCCTATTTATCCTCATTCTCTTGCAATTTGTAGGTTACTTTCCCCTCGGTGTACCCTAAAATTGACATACATTTTTGACAGTAGCACATGGTTCAAAATAAGACATTCATAGGAGCAATTATATTTCTTAGGTGCTTTCAGGTAAACATTGGATGCTGACTGCAAGGTTGGCTGTTCAAACCCACCAGCTGCTCTTTGTATATCTTACATCTTGGAAATCCTAAGTAGGGTCGCTGTGAGTCACAGTGGATTGAGGGCGTTTTTGGCTTGTTCTTTGCTATGCTGAGAAAGTTGGCAAGGTCAATGATGCCTACTTCATCAATGGAAACTACCTAGTGGATTTAACAATTGACACAAAAGCGATGCTATAATCACTTAATTGTTTTCATGCTCTCGTTTCCTCTGAACGTTTCATTACGTTGTATTTTAAATGAAGAAAGACTTGGCTCAGGGTTGGCATCTAATAAATACTTGAGGAAATGGATATTTTAAGTGTGGCCAGAGGCAGTGCTCCACAAGCGCTGGTTGACGAGGCAGAAGAGCCCTGCCTCGATTTGACCTTGTAGGGGAAAAACAGTCTGCCGCCACGTTCCCGGGCTCATGTGAAAATGTACTGATAGTTACTTCTTAGTTACTTCTTGGTATAGGAAAATTGTTAAATGAACCCCAAATAGAAGGATTGGCTGAACAATTTTATGGCATCTCTTAGCTACAGTCGGTTCCAGAATGAGATGGCTTGCCCAGTGTGGTTCACTTGCAGGGGCTCAGCGGCACGATGTATTCATTTCGGGTGTTTCCCATTAGTGCCACCTGCTCAAGGAGCTTGCCCCAGGACACTCATTTTTATGAATGCTTCCATCTGGTCTGCGGGGGCTTACCTGCCCTCACAAACTACTGTGGGGTGCTGGTGAGTTCTTTGGCCTCCTAGTGACTCACGGAATGGGCCCTGCTCCGCGGTGTGCCGTCTTTGCCGTCGTTGTTGTGTTTGAGCCCATGGATGCAGTTGCTGTGTCAGCCCATCTCCTGGATGCTCTTCCTCTTTTTTTTTTTTCCATGTTCAAAGTAAATGAGACCACAGCTCAGGACCAGGTTGGCTGCTCTTTTCTGCAACAGACCCGTTTGACCACGCAAAATGTCCTTCTCCGGGAGATGGTCTCTCCTGATAACATCTCCAAAATATTTGAGACCAATTCTTGACAACCTTGCCTCTAAGGAGCATTCTAGCTGTATTTCTTCCAACCTAGATCTGTTTGTTCTTTAGCTAGCCCATGGACCTTTCAATATTTTTCACCAACACCCTGGTTCAAATGTGTCGAGTGTTCTTCAGTCTTCTTATTCAATGCCCCAGTGTCACTTGATGATGAGCCATTGAAAACACCATGGCTTGGGTCATCATGTTCCAATAAATCAGTCCTTCTGTGCTATGCCTTATTCATTGTGTAACTTTACGTGCATGTGAGGCCATGGAAAACACTTTGGTTTAGATCAGGCTCACCTGAATCCTCAAAATAACCTTAAGTAAGACTTCCTCTGATCCTGATGCCACATTCTTCATGGAGTCCAGCTTCTCTGATGATTTGCTCAGTGTACAGATTGAATAAGTATGGTGAGAGGATGCAACACACCTTTCCTGATTTTAAACCATGCATTATTCCTTACTTCTGCTTGTACACCAGCCTCTTGATCCATGTGTAGGTTCCATATGAGCACAGTGAAGCATTCTGGAATTCCCATTCTTCTCAAGGCTATCCAAATGTTTTGATCCCCACAGTTGAATGCTTTGCACAGTCAATGAAACACAAGTAAGCATCTTCCTAGAATTCTCTGCTTTCAGCCAAGATCCACCTGGCATAAGCAATGATATCCCCTGTTCCACAGCCTCTTCTGAATCCAGCCTTCATCTCTAGCAACTAGAGATTGTGTACTGTTGCAACTGTTGTTGGATTATTTTTAGCAAAATTTTTACTTGCATGTGATATCAATGATAATGTTCTGTAACTTGCACATTCTTATGGGTCACCTTTCTTTGGAATAGATACAAATATGGATCTTTCCCAGTTGGGTGGCCAACTACCTGTCTTCCAGATTTCTTGGATAGACGAGTTAGTGCTTCATCAACTTGCTGGAACATTTCAGTTGGCATTCCATCAATTCCTGGAGCCTTGTTTTTGGCTTAATGCTTTCAGTAACTTGGACTTGTTCCTTTAGTACCGTTGATTCTTGCTCATATGCTGCTTCTTGAAATGGTTGCATGTCGACCAATCCTTTTTGGACTCTGGGTCTTCTTTTCATCTTCTTTGGGTGCTTCTGCAGATTTATTATTTATTGTAGTCATATGTAATAGAATGTGTGAAAGATGACCGCCAAGTCAAGTACATAGAAAGCACTCTGTCTACATTAATTAAATTAAGTAAATTAGAATTAGGAGAGAAGATGAATGGGGAGCATCTTAGACTAGAGAGTCCTATACTTTGCTAATAACAGACCAACAATTTGTCCCCAAGCTTCATTTCAGCAGTCATGAAGAAAGAAACATAATAGGGTCCAACAGCTCACAGGGAATTTAGTTATAGTCATATATTTCTGGCACAACCATAATTGCCTGCCCCTACCCCCATATTTGAATTTTAAAACAAGATCTCTTTTCACTACACACAGCCATGAAATTTTTAGAGACTTGTTGAGTTCCAGGAAAAATTGCTCAAGTTTACTGGAGACTTCTCTGTAGCATGTCCCATAGAAGGAAGCAGTTCACTGATTGTACTTGTAGGAGAGAACTCAGCTAAGTGCGCCCTGACCCCAGCCATATTTCCCATTTTTAGGAAGGCCAGGACCCTGGGGGTAGTCAAGGATGAACTTTGAGTTAGGTGGCTTATTTCCATCATCCACAGCTGGAGCCTCTTAATCACTAGAACTAGTCTTATTTCTTTACATACTCATTCACCACATTGCATAAGTGGTAGGTGCTCAAAAACTTTTTTGAGTTGTGGTTAATAAATGAACATGAGCAGAAGAGTTCGAGTGGGAGATTTTTATTGCCCAGCTGTAACAGAAGGATTATTTCTATATCAGGAACGATAGACTTTTCATCCAACTCTGGTGTCAGTGCTCAGGGCTTAAATCGCAGTATTTGAAATGAAAAATAAAATCAGTGTGAACTCTTCTTTGCTGGGTACTGATGTGCAATGACTTGTGTTATTAGATGTCAAAATGAAATAGAATGGGTTTTCTTAAAATGGGAGACGAGCATAATTCTCATACCTTGGGCATCATTGGGAATAGATAGACCAATCCATTTCCTTTCAGGACACGTACCTCATTATAACTCATGCTAAGTCATGGTCCAAACTTCATATCTCACAAAAGATGGTACGCATCTTGCCTGGTGTATCACATACAGATGAAATATAGACAGGTCAGGGAAACGTAAAAGATGTTAAAATCACACATTTCAGTTATTGCAAAACAGCCTAAATTCTCTTTAGAAAATAGGTAAAGTTGCTCATGATCCATGATATTACTTTTCTTCACATATTGCTTCGTTAAGGATCAGTTTTATCTTTGGGATAGTGCATTCCCAAACAAGTCTCCTTTGACCCTCTCCTCATTTACCCACATTAATATAATTGGATGAAAGGTACGTTGGCATTCACTCACTGTTACATTTCTTTTTCTTTATTGTTTATGATTAAGTTCTTCACTCCAATTAAATTTACACACTAGGAACCCTCTAAGCCCGAATCAGGAAAATAAGTTAAGAGGATGGTTTGGGATAGCTGTGGTTCACACACAAATGACTTCTCGTGTCCATGGTCTCTAGTTGAGCTTACTTACATTCAAAGGTGCCCCGAGGGTGTTTTTTCTTGACTAAAGTGTAGTAAGTCTTTGTAACTCTCTTCTCCCTTCTCAGACCCTTTGCTTTTACGCCGTCCGAAGTCAACATGTCCCTGAAAAATGAGCCGAGAGTAAATACGTCTGCGCTGCAGAAGATCGCTGCCGACATGAGCCACCTGATAGAAAACCTGGACACGCGAGAGCTCCACTTTGAGGGAGAGGAGGTGGACGTTGACACGTCTGGTGATCCCAAGGCACGGGAAGGTAGAGACGAATGAGTAGAGGAGGGGAGGGATGGTGAGGCAGTTCATCGGGGCTGGTTGACAGAGCCCAAGTTTGAGACACACCTGCAGATGATTGATCTTCATTATCATGACGCTGGGCTGAGGTGGCTTTTCATTGGCTGCTTTTTGGTTTGAACACTTTGACTCGTAAAAAAAACCGGGATGTTCATGAGAGGTGAGTACGCGAATAGCATACTGATTCTTGTAATGTCTTTATTTACTTATTTGTTTTCAGAGTATATCCCTTTCTCTGCTGTGTATAACACTCAAGGATTTAAGGAGCCTAATATACAGACGTACCTCGTGGGCTGTCCAGTCAAAGCACAAGTTCTGGATGTGGAGCGCTTTACGTCGACGACCAAGGTCAGCGTGTGTTTGTATCCCCGTGTTCTTAGTATATACAATTGGATATATCGACCTGCCTCTTCCTCCCACCTAGCTCTGCCCAAGTGTAGAATTGTGTGTGTGCGCTTTTTTGGACTTATTTTTCCAAGCCCACAGCACTTCTCACATTTTGCTTTCTTCCTCAATTAATCCTTGTCTTTTCTTGCTTCTGTTTCTCCATCCTGCACTATTGCTTTTTATTATTATTACTAAGGCTTTCAGGATAATCTGTCAAGTGTAATGAATCGCATCATCCCTCCGCCCTTCCTCTTCTCTCCCCGAGGTCTGTTTCATTTGGCCTCTTTGAGCAGACATTCCATCTAGGGTGCCTGAAGCAGCTCAGGGAAAAGTCTAGCTGTTATAGTGCTTGTTTAGCAATACAACGAAGATGTTAGCTGGCTCTTGAAAGAAGGCTAGGCAGAATTCCGGACTGCACACCCTGTCTCTCTGATCGGCTCCCAGCATGTTGACCTTTAGGCCCCACTCGTGTTTGTCCTGTTGAGCACCAGAAGGGCTTTACAATGCAGTGTCTACAGCAGGCAGAGGACGTGAACTCGGGGCAGCTGGGAGAGATGTGTTTACTGCTAGCAGACGTGCCTTACCTAATAAGCAAAGTAGGCATGGGCTTACTTGTGTGCTTACTTACTAATTGGCAGTGAATAACTTCATATGGGTTTTGTAGTAATACAAATGTTAAACGGTTTCTTCATTTGATTCCTAGGTGTATTGATGTCTACATCGTTGGTTTGTTGCGTGAATTTAATAACTTAATAGGGTGTTGTACTTTATTTTTGAGCAATTTATTAATGAAACTTTATGTACCAAATGAGTTAACCATGTAACTATTCATACACAAGTTGTCCCATGACATGGTGTACTCTGCATCCAATGTGTGTCATTTCCACCCTTTCTTCCCTGTTGCAAGAAGCTCTTGTGCACAGTGTTTAAAACTAACTGAATGGTTAGGGGTTTGAACCCAACAGCCATCCCATGGGAGAAAGCTGTGGCAGTATGCTTCCATAAAGACCACAGCATTGGAAACCCTCTAATTCAGTGGTTCTCAACCTTCCTGATGCTGCAACCCTTTAATCCAGTTCCTCATGTTGTGGTGACTCCCCAACCATAAAATAATTTTTGTTGCTACTTCATCACTGTAACTATGCTACTGTTATGAATTGGGGAACCCCTGTGAAAGGGTCGTTCGACCCCACAAAGGGATGACGACCCCCAGGTGGAGAACCACGGCCCTATAGGGTAAGCCTATTATGTCATATAAGGTTGTTGGAGTCAGAATCAACTTAGTGGCCGTGGTTTGGAGTTTTTCATCTGTCCATCCATTTGCCTGCCCCTCCTTGCCTTCTCATCTTTGAGTTTGGACAAATACTGCCTAGGTGGTGGCTCATATAGTTGATTGTTCCAAGGAGCACATGCCTCCCAGGTGGTGGTGTTTTGAAGTCAATATGTTCTTTGAAAGGTGACCTTGGGAAGTGGCTTTAGTTCCAGGTTAAAAGGGCATCTTAGGGCATTAGTTTGAGGGTTTTCAATAGTCTCTATCAATCTAGGGAGTCTCATCTTTTATGTGAATTTGAGTTTTGTTCCATCCTAAGCAGGATCTTCTATGTGTCGCTGTTTAGAGCCTTCAACAATGGTCTCCGGGTACCATCTAGCTCATAGGTTCTCCAACTTGTTTCACCATCCCTTTCTCAGAAAAATAAAACCACACCCCTCCTGTTGATTAAAAACGTTTGCACGGTAGCCCACAATCAAGGCTAAAGTGTAGGTTCATTCCAGCCCCTCCCCCCATCCCTGTGTCCCAGGGAGTCAAATCACCCACTTTGGAAAACACTGACCTCCTCCTTCTGGCTTCAGGTGGGAGGAGCTGTGGTTCAGGTGGCCATAGTTCTGTGGACTAGTTTCCTGGACTCTCCTCTCCTTTGCTCCATATATGCGGAGAACACAGGTTGTCTCTTAGGTGGTCATGTGCAGACTTTTAAGACCCCAGACACTACTCAACAAATAGAACATTATGGACCATGCTATGCCAATTGACCTAGATGTTCCCCAAGACCATGGCCCTAAGCCTTCAAACCCAATCACTGTCCCATGAGGTGTTTGCATATGTCTAGGAAGTTTCCATGGATTTTCCCTCTATGTACTCTTTTCTGTACCGGGGGCTTCAAAAAGTTCAGTGAGAAATGGAATTAAAAGATGATGAAACATACATATATAACACATACAACGATCTGTATACAAATGCCCACAACTCTGTCTATACATGTGGGTCCCTGGTAGCATAGTGGTCTATGCGATGGGCTGCTAATTTCAAGGTCAGCTGTTTGAAACCACTAGGTCAGTGGTTCTCAACCTGTTGGTTGAGACCCCTTTGGGGGGTTGAACGACCCTTTCACAGGGGTCACCTGATTCATAACAATAGCAAACTGACAGTTATAAGATGAGACTTTCTACTCCCATAAAGCTTTACAGTCTCAGTCATTCACAGGCAGCAGCTCCACCCTGTGCGGGAGGGTCACTATGAATCAGCATTGACACAAGCAGTGAGTTTGGTCTGTGTACCTCTGCGTGCCAACGCTGGTGCCCCATACACTCTCTGACGCCTACACGGTATGCTTCTCTGTCACGGCTCACAAATCCGTGCTTGTATCACTGTGGTTGCACAATTGTATCTGTTACAGCATTTTCAGTAGCTGTCCCTTATTCTAGCATACCTCGCATGTGGTTCCTAAGCCTTAGTCAGGGTGTGCTGACGTCCCCCGTGTTGTGTTTCACCTCTCCCTTCACCAGAACTAACACATCGACTTTCTAGTAAACGATTCTCCTTCCTCCTCCAATCTCTAATATCTACTTTAAAAGTTTGCTTTCTGTGTGCACACCTGATCTTGACTCTGTATCAGTCTCCTCATCTACTTCGTCTTGTTAAATTGAGCTCTTTTTACTCAAATGCAAAGGCTCTGGCCACTCGGGTTTCCCTGCAGACCATGATGCAGGATGATGCCTCTAATATTAGTCAAGGTGAAAGGCAGCATGTTATATTAAACTCCTGCAACTTCCGGTTGCAGCAACTGTCACAGATCCTGAGTAGAGAGAAAGCATGAACTTAATTTCTTGATTTGACTATTTACTGATGATTGGAGGGATGCTTGTTTTGTATACCACCTCTACACAGAGTGGTCATGCAAAGCTTGCACGAAGTGTGCAGCCAGTAGTAGTGAATGGTAACTGCAGTGCCTGGACACCGCACGTCAAACATCGACACGGACACTAGGTCTTGGATAAACTAGCAGTCAGAGACGTGTACTCTCTCCGCCTCTCATCACCTATAGTTTCTTACCTTTTGTCAGGAACCAGTATGCTCTAAGCCAGTGGTTCTCAACCTTCCTAATGCCGCGACGCTTTAATCCAGTTCCTCATGTGGTGGTGACTCCCCAACCATAAAATTATTTTTGTTGCTGCTTCATCACTGTAATTTTGCTACTGTTATGAATCGGTTGACCCTTATGAAAGGGTCATTCGACCCCCCAAAGGGGTCACGACCCACAGGTTGAGAACCGCTGCTCGAAGCGATCCAGCGTAGCATCCGGTGCCTTCATGCCCTCCTGTGCTTTCAGCAGATTCTTTTTCCTGACACTTCCCGAGCAGAGCGCTTCTCTCTTGGGCCTGTTAGAAAAAACTCTGACTAGTAAAATGAATCATTTGTCACCGAGATATATTTGCATTTTAAAGGAAGTATTTTAAAAATGTAATAGCAATTTACTTTGGTTAGGTATCTAGAAAAAAACACTTTGTGGGTGATTATATTTTTCTTGTCTTCTACCTTTCTGGACAGAGGAGGCCCTTCAAGAAGTAGGGGGTGCAGTTAAAGCCAGAAGATGAAATGTGCTTCAGAATGAGAGGGGAGAGGGCCACAGGGTCATTGGGAAGGGAAGACGGTGCTCCCAGCACCCCTTTTCTCCTGCCCTTGCTCATTCCGCCAATGGGCTAGTCGCTGTCTGCCAGACATGGGTCTTCTCACATAGTGTCTTTTATCTGGCTTCTGGTATCAGGTGTGTGTGTGTGTGTGTGTGTTTAGAGGTGGATGATAATATGGGAAGATAGGATTACTCGAAATTTATGATATAAAATTTGTGTTATACAGATTATCAAATACTTAATAGACTATTATTATTTAAATCAGGATTACAAAATTTGAAGGTTTGCAAACAAAGAAAACGTTTATATAATTCCACAAAATAAACTGGCAGGATTTTAAGAATGTTTCCATGTCACTCATTAGCTATTGTTCATTGATTTTGGCGAGGGGGCCGGTTGTTGATATATAAAATGCCAACCATTTGTATTTCTCACTGTAGGTGCCAAGTATCAATCTTTACACTATTGAATTAACACATGGAGAATTTAAGTGGCAAGTTAAGAGGAAGTTCAAGCACTTCCAAGAATTCCACAGAGAACTACTCAAGTACAAAGCCTTTATTCGAATCCCCATTCCTACCAAAAGGTACCTACTTCCGTATTCATTATAAAGCTGTGTCCTTATACAAGTTGGGAAGGAAAGAATATTTCCCTCACCTGATAGGTGAACTTATCCATCGCTGCTGGTATTTTCAATGAAATAGGTTCTTCTAAAGGTAAGGCGTCTCATGAAGGAGATGAGGAGAGACATGGTTTGCAGGACACCCTAATACGTGTTGGTTGCCTTCTTGTAGACACACATTTAGAAGACAGCATGTCAAAGGGGAGGAGCCCCGAGAGATGCCAAGTTTGCCCCGCTCATCGGAAAACAGGATTCGGGAGGAACAGTTCTTCGGCAGAAGGGTAGGTGTTCACTTGTGCATCGTTTGGAACAGAATCTGCAGCCCTGTGCAAACCCTGGGGTGTGCTGGTGGCACCATGGTCATGTTTACACGCATGAGAAATCCGTGCCCGCTGTCACAGGTAAGCTCCCGCACTGGGCAGGGGAAGAAGGGAGAGCCAGCGGATTCACTGAATGCTGTATTCAAGGAGACCGAATCAACCTTGTCCAAGAAAACCTGCCTCCCAGAGCAATAGGCTAAAGGGTTTTTAATAAGCGAAGGAAAGAGGGTTTCAGAAAAGAATCAAAGTTCATGAAAAAGCGGGTAATCTCACTGGAGGGGGTCTTCTGGAGCAATCAACACCTTTCAATGGTCCCGCTTGAGATGGGCCAGGCCCTCTGCTTCTCTGATGGTTTCTCTCTTTGGAGGGGCTTGTCCACATGAAGCTGCAGGTGTGGTTTGTGAGTTCTTTCCTTCAAAGGGTGGGTGGGGTGAAGTGGGGATAACTCTCTGACTGCTAGAGCTGTGGTTCTCAACCTGTGGGTCGAGACCCCTTCGGGGGTCGAACGGCCTTTTCACAGAGGTCTCCCGATTCATAACAGTAGCAAAATCACAGTTATGAAGCAGCAACGAAAGTAATGTTATGATTGGGGGGTCATCACAACATGAGGAACTGTATGAAAGGGTCGCGGCATGAGGAAGGTTGAGAACCACTGTAATCTAAAGGGAAACAGCAAAGGTTTGCCAATTTATTGTGGATTCTATCGGAATTGCAAGATTAAAACAAAGAAGAGAAAAATACAGGAAGCCTCAGAGAGGCAGGGACAGGGGCCTCCTGCGGCGTGAGGTCGAGCTCTGGGCTTGCTAGTTTGGTCTTTTGAACTCACGCCTGCTCTGGGGGGCAGTCTGTTACCATAAAGATGTCCAGTCTTAGAGACCCAGGGGGCCATCATACCCTCTCTGGCCCGGAGGGTGGTGTCAGTTGGAATCCACCCAAAGGCAAGCAGGAACACCCCACACAGAGGAGCACACTCCTCTCATCCATGATCGCTCACCCCTTCTCTGGAACTTGGTTAGTCAGCCCTCTTCCCTAAGCCTCGGTGGACTCTTGGGAGGCTGCACTTTCCCAGAAGAGAAGTTAGGTCACGAGGAAGCTGTCTTCCCTGTGGGAAACTCTCTGGACTGGAAGTGAGTCACCTTTATGGGGTTTGAGAACTGCTCTTGGAAAATCATGTTTCCCGATGTTCGCTTCTTTACTTATGGGAGCTCATGGCCGCCCTGCCATCAAGTTGTCTCCGGCTCAGCTGTAGAGACATAAAAGATCTCATTCTTAAACTATACATGGGCCAGGGAGGTGTGAGATGGGTAGAACCACACGCAGCTGTGTCTGATGGGAAACGCGGGCAGAGGGACACCCATACCTGACCTGCTTCTGTGAGACTGTGCACAGCATGGGAGAGAATGTTTTCCATAGAAAATCAACAACTAGACATCAGTTCTGCCTTATAGTCAGAAATAGCGGAAATGTGTCCCAGAGGAAATGTTTTCCGTTCCTTCTGGACCAATGTCAGCTTGCAAAAAAACCTTTGGGGACCTGGTCTAAATATTTTGTAAGATACCACAACATAGACGATTCTATAGTTTTGTGTTACTCCATGTCCATATGTGAGTCTGGCTGAAACGGTTAATGTATGGTCATTAACCCTTGATGACTCAGGCAGAGATTTTGTCACATGGCCAGCATGAATGGCCTGTACGATTCCACTGCCTCTATGTCAAAAATACATTTCCTAGCCCCCAGCCTCCACTCATCGTTTAGCATATTTGCAATGAAGGCATATCTTCCCTTCCTCTTGAAAAACTGCCAAATGCATTTATCAATGCAGTGTTAGAACTGAGAAAATACAGGTTTGGGTTAAAAGTCTTTACTGTGGGCAACACCCTCCCCCCACCCCCCACCGAAGCTAGGGTGCATGTCCTGTCTCCTCATTAGCAGTGACAGCTGGAGAATGGCTAAGGGAGACTGGAGAAGACCGTGTGCATTTAATTGTGATATTGACAAAGAATATTAAGTAAACATGGACTGTCGGAAGAATGAACAAATTTGCCTTCAAACAAGTACAGCCGGAATGTTCCTCTGAAGCAAGGATGGCGAGACTTTGTCTCAGTGCTTTGTAGAGGTAATCAGAAGGGGCGAGTCTCTGTAAAAGGACGTCATCCTGATGAAATATGAATCAGCCAAGAAGAAGAAGAAGAAGCCCCCTAATAAGAGGAGTGCAACAATGCATTCAGATATGGCAGCCATGGAGGGGCGGCACGAGACTGGGAAGTCTTTTGTTCTGTGGTCTGCTGGGGTCACTGTGAACTGGAACAAACTCAGCAGCACCTAACGGTAATGGCAACGGGGGAGTGGAGGGTGGGGCGGGGCTCCATGCTGGTTGTCGTAGAGTACAAAGAGAACTAGAAAGCTCGCTCTGTCTCTAAGCAGTTTGTGGAAGAGCCAAGAATGTGGAAAGTCAAATAGCAACCAGAGATTGAAATAGTGGCTCAAAAACCAAACCAAATTAACCAAAAAACTAAGTCCTTGCCATGAGGGAGCTGATTCCAACTCACAGTGAATGTGTAGGTCAAAGTATAACTGCGTCTTAGGATTTCTGACACTGGGACTCTTTATAGGAGCAGGCAGCCTCATCTTTCTCCCACAGGGCGGCCTGTGGGTTTGAACTGCCAATGTTGTGGTTAGAAGCTGAACCCTTAAACGAAGCACCACCAGAGCTCCTTAATGGTTCCAGAGAACTGTGGGAAAGCTACGTAATGCTCTTCAGGATTTCTTGCTCAGTGGCACTATGAGTAGACAACTGAATAACGTTTATAAAATGAGAGTGGAGCGGTGGTCACGGCATATTGGTGCGAGCTGCTTAAAAATGTTAATGCACATGAGCATATTAACTTTGATCTAATATTTATATTACAGAAACAACTGGAGGATTATTTGACAAAGTTACTAAAAATGCCCATGTATAGAAACTATCATGCAACAGTAAGTACTCAGTGATTTAAATTTTGAAATTACTAGTAAAACAAAATTGTCAGTTAAACTTAGGATTGCTCTGATTTACAGTTTTCTCAATACGAGTGTTTGTATCCATTTCTGCATCAGTCTTTTAGTTAAAGAAATGAATATAAAGTTGATTTGACACTAAAATACTGGATATAACTTAATACGCCTATAGCAATAGATTTGAATAACCACAGGTGAGATTATCTAGAAATCAGTCTTATTTCCTCAGGTTTCCTAGATAACACCAAAAAAATCATTCTCAGCCCTGAAGAAAAACTTTTGAGTACTAAGTGATGAAAACAGTTAAGTAGCGTTGAATACTCAAAGACGATATTGTGATTACCATCTGATTGGCCTGTGATGCCTATAAAAGGCTTTATCTTTCCATGTGAAAAGCGAGAGGCCTGGGAAAAAGCTCGGAGGAAAGAGAGGCGAGGTGGTGATGGGGCTGGAAAAACCCTAGAGACGAGGCTGGGCAGGCAGCAGTCAGGTAGCGGAGGTGGGGTGGACTTCACAGAGAGTTTCAGGAACGGGGAGCTTCTTCGCCATCCTCGAAGGCCCTTGATGGTAGGATGTTTATAAATGGTTCGCTCTCAAAGGCCCAGAGATGTGGATAACTGATAGTGAAGCCTGCTTCTCTATGTGGAGAAAGACTTTTCCTGTGGAGGTGGCACAGAGGTGCACAAGCTATCACGCGTCTCTGGCTTACACATACACAGAGGGAAGGACAGGCTCTGTCTGTCTAAGGCAGAAAAGCAAGAGCAATGTAGGCTGCTGCGTTTTTCAGGGACTTGTGTCTCCTCCCCCAGCCTGTCTTCAGTGGAGGTTGGTCATGCACACACCCTGCTGGTCCCTTGTACACACAGCTGACCCAAGGCCGCCTCTGCACCCCTCTCGCAGCGGCTCTCTTGGTGAGGGTAGTGGACTTCAGGCGTGTTTGCCGGCCTCCTAACTGTGGAGAAGAGTTTTCTCTGGGACTCCAGCAATTTGGCTTCCACCCAAGGAACTCAAGAGCATGATGGGAGGGATTTCTTCCAGTCTGGGCCTGAGAACTATGAGTACTCCTGAGAACTAAGGAGTAAGGGCACTGTTTCTGTTTTCACTAAAGGCTGCCCCCTGTCTGGCCCTCGGATGCCAACACGGCTGTTTTCAGAAGCGGCATGATTAAGCACCGGTGTGACCTCCTTCTCCATGTCTTTTGCTTTCCGCCTGCCCGTGACTTGCTCTTTCTTTTGGCTTTCAATTTTAGAACAGTTCACGGTGGTTCTGTCTTCTGTTTCTTGCATGTGTGATTACATTTGGGATTCTCATGTTGAAGGAAGAATAATTTCTCAAATATTCGCTTACTTAAAAAGTTACTTTCTCAGGCAGAAAAGTCCTTCCACCGCTAAGGCACTGTTGTGCTCAGAAAGCCCATCACGTCTCACAAATATTTCGTTTGGAAGAAGAAAAAACCCGTTAGCTACTGAAGGAATCGAGTTTCCCCTCTCAGTTTTGGTGACTGTTCACAGTGGCCCCTGAATCGCTGAACTCTCCAAAATGCACAGTATGCCATTTCATCTACTACTGGACAGTCATTGCCTGCACTGTAAATGTCATCCCGTCTAAAGACTACTCAGTCTTCATTCAGGCCTCCCCCTCTTCCTTGCAAAATCAGATTGGCCTCTGTGTGTTTCCCTTGACAGATGTGAGGAACATTAAAAAGCCCTGTGTGTAAAAAGCATGTTAGAAGTTGTTTGTTATGTGTACGTATCGTTGCTTTATACTTTGAAAGGTCAAAAACAGCATTTTCATACGTAAATGAATTGGGATTCTTAAGTCAATAGGCTTTTGGGAACCAAATAGGATGGTGCTTCTGCTTTCAGTAAGTCCGTGCAGATCTGTGCTTGCAGTCTGTCTTTTTAATGACGAGGTCCAGGTGGCTCTTATTATTAACAGTTTGGGAAACTTTCCTGAACTGAAATGTTCTGGTCAAGTTCGAAATGTCTTGGAAATTTGGACCACTTTCAAAAGTGGAGCTAGATAGTATCAGGGTTTTTGTGTAATACGATTTACCCAGAAGGAACTGCTTCTAGGCTTCCAAGCAGTAGCCCTTTCGTTTTCTTAAACGGCTTTGGAAATGAGATGCGGACAGCTCTTTTCTCTTACTTTTACATGTGGCCACTCAGACAAACACCTTTTCTTCCAGGCTTATGAAACCTTCCTTTGTTTTTATTCCTTTTTTCCACCTCCTGGTTCTGAAAAACAAGGTTTTCAGGGATTCAGCACGAGGCAGTTTCCTCGGACATTATCAGTAGTTCCTTTAGTTTCATTACTCTTTGGTAAAGAGGGAACACCCGTGTTTGACCTCTCCCGTAGGCATAAATGCGTATGTAAAAACCAAAATTAACAGCAGGTAGCTCCATCGTACAGTAGCATATACAACTTCCAACAAGAATTCTTTTGTCTTCTAGTATTGTATAAGTGTAGGTTGTGATCCGGGCATTTTCATTAATAACTGGAAAATGCTCATCTCTCAGGGTATTGAAAGGAAGAGGAGCAGTCAATGTATTGTATGTTCTGAAAACCAAAATCTAGAAATGGAACGAAACGTGCAGTCTAAGAGAAACGTTCTGAATGGATTATGCTCTAATGTCGAGTAAATTAACTCTTCTAACTCAGATTCCTTATCTCCAGGATGATGGTTAGCTTCGATTTATCATCATGGGTGAATCATTCCACAGATCGATGATACCGAGTTGGGCTCTTCCTCGTTTTGTCTGATGAATCACTTTAGTTTGAGGTGCAGACGGGCACAGAACAGAGATCTGCATATTGTTTCCCTGCCCGACAGAGAAGAGCTGTATTGACTTGATCAACAATGTCTTCTAATTAAGGGAAAGGCCCTTATCTCTGCACAGTGAAGGACAAAAGAGAATGTCTCACAGGCTGTCCAAAGCCGCAATCTTTCCAGAAGTCGACGATCACATCGTTCTCCTGCAGAGCAGCTGCTGGGTTTAACCACCTGCCTTTCAATTGGAAGGCAAGCACTTCACCACAGCACCACCAGGGCTGCTGGGCCTTGAAATTGCCCTGAGGACACCGGGTTTAGTTTTCAGTGATGGTCTGTCATTCTTACATTGAGTCTTAGAATTGGAGGGACCATAGGCATAGTCTAGACAATCTGTTTCCACTGTAGATTTGATTTAAAAAAACGCACAAACAAACCCCCAAACAACAACGCAAAACTCAAACTCACTGCCGGCAAGTTGATAATGATCAATAGCGACCCTATAGAGCAGAGTAGAATTGCCCCGTGAGTTTCCAAGAGTGTGACTCTTTGTGGAGCTGAGTAACCACTACATCCAGGGCTCCTCAAATTGGCCAGATGGCTTCTTCTGCCCCCCCCCTTCCCCCGCAGCTGTGCTAACCCTTTACCTGGAAGGCAGCCATTCCGGAGGTAGCGGAGCCTCCTTCCCGCGTTCAGTCCCAGGTCATTGGCCAACCCAGTGCTCGTTGCTTCTGACAATTTTGGACTTACCCACTTGCTTGAACTTTTGTTGACATCACCCTCCTCTTTAAATCCAGAACCGGAGTAGAGCGGGCTGTGTGTGCAGGGTAGCCAAGCAATTTTCAAGGTGTGCTCTTAGCCCTAAGTTTTGTTGCTTGTCAAGTGGTGTTGGGAACCCAATTTGCTTCCCTATTTTCCTAACTTTGATTATCCAGTGTGACATCTGAAGCTTTGAATTGAGACTGCTTTCCATCTAATCCCAAGAACATTTTACTTTTCACTAGTTCCTTTATACGCACCCCCCAGAAGCCAAATTCACTGCCATTGAGTCAGTTATGGTGTGTGTGCATTCGTGTACACACACACACACACACACACACACACGCAGAAGATATTGATTGTACTTTATTCACAAGATTAGGAAATCCTATGAAATACTGTCAGCTGATATTTGTCTTCAAATTCTCATTTCTGAGAACTGCCTGTCCACATGAAGTTAGGCACAGGGACAGGCAATTCTGTTTTCTTATCACTGAAAAATCACTTAGAAGTTTGAATAGCATAATTGCATTAAATTAAAAATGTTATTAATCGGTTTCACCTATAAGTTGGCCTTGGGACCTTTGCTTTCAATTTGAGAAATATGTCCTACCATAATATTTTCTTCTAGCAATTCATCCCACCCAGGAAGAATAAGTCTGTTTCTTCCTTACATGTTCTCCTTAGTTAAATACTACGAAGTCACTAGGTTATGGATTGGGTAGCAGTTCAAAGCCACGATCAGTTCCAGGGAGAAAGATGGGGCTTTCTGCTCCATAAAGATTTACAGCTTCAGAAACTCAAAGGAGAAGTTCCACCCTGTCCTCTTAAAGGGTGGCTATGAGAAGGCATCTACTCAATGGTAGTGGCTGGTTGAGTAACCCATTGTGTGCACATATCACATCCATCTGTTGATGGACATTTCCTTCGTGCCCACCTTCAGGGACTGTGGAAAGTGTGGCAGCGAGCACGTTGTACGGGATTCCTGTTTCTGTGCCTGCCTTCATTTCCTCTGGCTGCATACCTTGGACTGGGAATTCTAGGTTCTGTGTTCAACTTCTATGTTTGACCTTTGTGAGGAACTGCCAAATTGTTGTTCACGGTAACTGCCTTCCCACCAGCAATACGGGAAAACTCCAGTGTCTCCACAATCTTGTCAACACCTGTTGCTTCCATTTTCAAAATCACTGTCACCCTAACAGACACGAGGTGGCATCTCATCGTAGTTTTGGTTTACATCTCTCAAAAAGCGTTGGGCATCTTTTCCTGTGCTTGGTGGCTGACTGACTATCCTCTTTGGTGAAGTGTCTATTCCAGTTCTTACCCATTTTTTAAAATTGATTTTCTGTTGCAGACCTTTTTTTTTTTTAAAAAAAGCATTTTTATAGGTGGTGCTCTTCTTATTGTATGTATCACCCTCTCAATTCATCTCCCAAGCTATAGGTTGCCTTTTCCTTTTTAAAATAAAGTGGTTGTATTTTAATTGTACACCACACTCTTTGAGGGCAGAGCCTGCCCTCCCTCTGGGCAGGCTGCAGTGGCTGTGAGGTGCTGTGATGGCCGTTCCATCTCACAGTGACCCTTACGTACCACAGAATGAGCCGCCACCTGCGCCTCCACCATCCTCACAGTGTGGTTGAGCTCATTGTTGCAGCCACTGCGTCAGTCCATCATGTGAGGGTTGTCTCCTTTGCTTCCCTCCACTTTACCAGCGCGGCGTCCTTCTCCAGGGACTGGCATCTCCCAAGGCTAGGTCCACAGTACCCGGCACGAAGTCCCTGCATCGTCGCCTCTGAAGAGCATGCTGGATGTGCTTCTGCCAAGACAGAATTTGTTGGTTCTTTTGGTAGTCCAGGGTGCTTTCAGAGTTCTTTACAAGCACTATTGTTCAAAGAAATCTAATTTTCTTTGGTCTTCTCTATTTGTTGTCCAACTTTCACACACATATAATGCCATCAAAAATACCATACCTGCGTGAGATATGAAATAGTAATCATTATAATTGATCAAGGATCTACGAGGAGGGGAGGGGAGGTGGGAGGGGAAAAAAGAGAAGCTGGTACCAAGGGCTCAAGCAGAAAATGTTTTGGAAATGATGCTGGCAACGTATGTACAAATATGCTTGATACAACTGATGTATGGGATGTTGTGAGAGCTCCCAATAAAATGATTACAAACCACGACAATAAACCAGACCTTAGTCCTCCAAGTCACAGCTTTGTTTTTCAGCACTTTAAAAAGGTCTGTGGCAGCAGATTTGCTCAGTGCAAGGTGTCATTTGATCTTTTGCCTGCTGCTCCAGGAGCACTGATTGTGGATGCAAGCAAGATGGAATTCTTGTAAACTTCAATCTTTCCCCCTATTTATCATAACGGTACCTATGGGCCCAGTTGCGAGGACTTTTTAACATTGAATTATAAGCCACACTGAAGACTTCTGTCCTTGATCTTCACCAGCAAGTGCTTCGAGTCTCTCTTCACTTTCAGCGAGCGGGGTGTGCCGCAGGCATATCCGGGTCGTTAAAAGCCTTCCTCCAGTCCTGCCCCACGTTCTTCCTCAGGTAACCCAGCTTCTCTAGATATTTGCTCAGTGGTCTATTGAGTGCTCCAAAATATGTACACAGACCACTACCCTAGCCATGCTTTTTGAATGCATAAATGTCATTGTTTTGCCTTCCGAAGTATGAAATGTTTGTCTCTTTTCAGACAGAGTTCCTTGACATAAGCCAGCTGTCTTTCATCCATGATTTAGGACCAAAGGGCATGTAAGTTCTGCTGTTGAATCTTTCAAAAGTGTGGAAAGTTGATAAGCATGAACAGCTGATGTGCCCACAAGCCCTAGGGTAGCCCTCCCCTGGCTCTTGGCTCTTCCCCTGGCTTTACCACTAGCTTCTGGTTTTCCCAGCAGAATTGGAGCAATTTAGGGGAGTTATTTACGCAAAACAAAGCCTCTTGCTACAATAAACAACAGTAGCAACACCCCATCCTTTCTCACTTTTTTATAGCTTTGCTTGTCTTGAACCCAACTGTAGCAAACTACCACTTGGGACCGTGATTTAAAAATCAGGTGCATGAAATCTATCAGATCCCTTCCTCTCATGACTTAAACGTTAACTCAGTGCACTCTGATTTCTGAGTTAAAAATACTTCTGTGCAAAATATATGTTATTTGATAAAAACGAAAATTGCTTAATGATTATTCTCCTCATTAATCGAGTTGGAGTCTATAAACAGCTCAGCATTTAAAACTCATTGTTTTATTTCGTTTATTGTGCTTTCTTGTCACATTATGATGGGGTTTTCTTGTCACACCTTACAACAAAGTTATTGCTCTTTTCGAAGATACAGTGGCTCTGCTCAACTTCTTTTGGCACGGCTCGCTTGCCAGAACTGTCGGCAAAATGTGCAGAAATGTCCAGGAATGTTGAAGATTAATTGCTAGAGTACATAGCCTACTGAAGGAGGATAGGAGTGGGGAGGAAAAGCATGTGAGCAACGGTTGGCTAATTCGGTCACAATTGACTGTGCTAGGTCAGCTAGGTATAGAGTGGACAGTTGATCAAACTGGGCTGATGTCATGTCTTTTTCAGAGAAGGCATGATAATGAAAAGATCTGGAGGACACAGGATACCAGGCTTGAATTGCTGTGGCCACGGAAGAGCCTGCTACCGATGGTCAAAAAGGTAGGAGCTGTGTGTGTTTATTTTAATCAATGGGTATCTAGGAAGTTTTCTGTATTAAGTTAAGATTTTAAATCCTTTCACAATAATAGAAGGATACTTTTGAATGATGTTTCAAGTTCCTAATTTCAGCGTACACTCAAATGGTATGCCCCAAACTGACCTATAGACAGAGTATACACATTTTTCGCATGTTATGCACATAAAAATCCACTGACCCATAGAACTGAGAAAGTGATCAGTGAAGAAGATAAGCAAATGGCTTAGGAAAAGATGCTCAGCCTCATTAGTCATTTGAGAAATGCAAACCAAAAGAGGTACAACTTCATATCCACTGGGAGGGTTGTGATAAAAAGATGAACAATAGCAAGTATTGGTGAGGATGTAAAGAAATGGAAACCCTCTTCATACACAGTTCCATTGAAACGTGAATTGGTATGATCCCGTTGGGAAGCTGTCTGGCATTTTCTACCAGGGCTAAACAGAGTTACCGCAGTCTCCAGCATTGCTTCTGTTAGATATCTACCCAAGGGACTCTAAAGCATACGTGTACACCAAGACTTGTATGAAATGGTCATAGCAGCATTGTGTTAGTCCAGGTAGACTCGAGAAACAAACCCAAGGAAAGTCACATATGTATAAGAAACAGCTTTGTATAAAAGAGAAATTGTCTATTGAGAAAGCATCCCAGCCCAGTCCCAGGCACAGCTCAGGCAAGCCTCTATCGGAATCATTCTGAGATGCCCCTACACTGTCTCCTGGAGCCCTCGGCAGGATTGCAGCCCAGTTGCCTATGGGAAACAGCAGGAAACCAGCCTGCACAGTTTCCCTTCCAGGAAAGAGGAGGATGGTGCAGGACTCGCCACAGTTCTTTCCATTCCACCTCATCCCAGCATGAGTCCCAGTCAACTCAATCGCAGCTGGCTGCCTGTCTGCTCCTCCGTCCTTTCGGGTGCTGCCCGCGTTACTGCCCAGAGCCACCTGGGACAGCCCAACCCAAGACATTTACTCAAGGAATGGAAGCCTTGGTGGCTTCCTGCAGCCTTCGTCGAGCGCCTCACGTTGGCTGGGTGCTCCTCATGCACTGTGACCACAGCAGTGAACCCAGAGAGGAGACCACTGCCCTCCTGGAGCACTGTTCCAGGGGCGATGCGGACAATGGTCAAGCTGACAAGTAATACAAAGTCAGGCGGTGATGAGATCTTTAGAGGGAAACTAAAGACAAGGTGAGAGTGGAAGCACTTGAGGCTGGAGGGCATGACGAGCTCAGGGCGTCAAGAACAGTACCATGGAGGAGCGAGGCTCGGTTGTCAGCGATATGCGAGGAAGGGAGCAGACAGAAGTGTCGTGGGCTTTGTTACATAGAAGGAATGTCCCCTGCTTTTTTCTTTTGGGGGGGCACCATTTCGGATCGAGTCATGCTTAAACCAGGGCAGGCTAAGAAGATAGGATCTTACCTGGAATTAAATGTGTCAGTGTAAATTATATAAATATTTCCTTGACAACTAAACCCATCGTTCCATATTAACAAGTATTTGCTAAATCACCTTTCTGGGATGTTAAGCTAGCAGTACCAAATCAAGATGATAACGTATAGCTGACAAAATTAGTTCAGAAGATGTTGCACAGGAGATTAGTGGTGTTGAAATGGAGTGACTTTTAAAGATGACCAATGCTTATAACTCTCTTTTTTCTTGTACGCATAAATTCTCTATCATTTTGTTTGTTCTGTGTTGACAAAAGAAGGTAAGACAAACATAACGACTGAACTTTCGATCAGAGTTCATCTTGACCTTGTCTCAGAACCAAGTTGGGAAAAACAAGACACACAGCAGACATTGCTTTCTGCCACTAAAGCGTCTTGAAAGCTTGCAAGCAGCAATGTGAAGCCCAACAATGGACCTCATTGGCCTCAGCAAAAAAGAGGCAGGAGAGTCCGAAATCGGAGGAGTAAATGGATGTATGATTAATTGCTTTCATGCACAACTGCCTTCTTTGAGAACAGGAGAATCAGATGGTGGCAGGCTAACATTCCTGCGCCTCCTATTCAACAATTATGTGGGAGAATCCTAATCAAAAGGTGGGAAGTAAAGAACAGAATTTTAAATTCTCACAAAATCCAGTTTCTGGAACCACAGAGATTAGCTGAATCCCTAAAGCCAGTGCCCAGAGATAATCTTTAAATTCTAATCCAGGAATACTGAATTCCCCTAAAATCTCCTTAAACTCAAACTATAGTTTCGCTTAAACCCATACGAAATCTGACTTGAGCACTGTGCTCTCTTGAGATCTGTCTTCTGGATCAGAGGGCAGTAGTAGCTCAGAAGACTCGACGGGCACTTTGAGGGAAGGTGAATTCGTGTTCGCGTGGAAGGAACAGCTCAGAAAAGGAGCGTGAGAAGAGTTGTGTAACTGTAATCAAAGTCATTGCATCGAACCTGTGGAAACTGTTGAACTACCGTGTGTGCTGTTGTGTGTCTCCTCAACACCAAAATAAAATGATTAAAGCAAAAATAAAATAGCTGCTTAGACAGGATATTAATTGAACAAGTTCTCCACTGACTAAGGGACCAGAGATACGTGTTTTGTTTTGCTTTTTTTCCTGCCAGGTATTAAAAGAGAGAGAGTGAGAGTTGCTAACAGATAAATCGAGCATTTCCTTTATGGAATGTTAAGCTATACAATAGGTAGTTACTTGACACAGTGACCATGTCTGAATCATTTCAGTTAGTCGAGATGCTTTCTTGACCTGCAGACTCGCTCCAGGCTGGTTTTGAATTAGTGTGGGCACTGAACAGAGGATGAACACTGAATCCTGAACGTGGTGGGTACGAGAGACCTCTTCTCTGCTCTCCTGGATCTGACTCCCTAGTGGGAGATGCAGACTGTAGACAAGCTGACCAAACCAACAAATAATTTCAGATGGGCAAAGTGCTATGAGGGAGCTGCTCCAGGGTGGCACGAGTGTGCAGAGCAAGGACACGAGGACAGATTTCTCAGATGTGGAGTCGAAAAGGCCCTACTAAGCACATTAAAGTGGAGGTTGGCAAGAAAAGACCATCTGAAACGAGGCTCTGAAAACATTTTCAAAGCACAGGACCTTTAGAGACTGAACGAAGACCAAGCCAGGCAAAGGCGAGGAACACCAGCAAGGTCAGAGAAAACAGGAGATGAAGGTGAGGGCCAGCTCAAGTGCACCTGGGGCCCTCTGGCCAAGGTGGGGGGGATTTGGCTTCATTCCAAGGGCAGTCACTAGAAGTTTCTAGCAAGGCAAAGATCTAATGATTAGCTTGCTCTGGAAAATGGACCAAGGGAGAAGCAGACAGGCACCTGTTTCCAGGTAACCAGCAAGAAGAGCGGGGTCTGGCCTCATGAAGCATCCGCCTTTGGATGTGTTTAGAGGTGAAAACGAGCATCCTTCGAGTATTGGACAGTGGGAGGAAGGATGGCTTGGACTGGAATGTCTGAGTGTCGAGGAAGCGTGAGTCCTTTACTGAAACGGGAAACCTATTTGAAGAGCAGCCTGACTGGGGAAAACGGAAGTTCTGTTGTGCGAAATCCCAGGGTCTTAGGGAATCCAGACTTTACAGAGCCTCAGAGGCTGAGGCACCTCTGGAACTGTTGCCCTAAGGTAATATTTAAATCTTCCAAAACAGCCACTGAGGTGGTCTTTAAACCAAACAATAAGCTGGCTTGTCTAGTATAGTGTGTTCGCCCTGGACATTGCCCTGAAGGACTGTCCTGACCATCTTATAAGGACGACTTGTATCGAACCAGATGGACAGTAGCAACTTGAAAGATCACCTAGGAAGCTGAGGGGCCAGTGAGTTCATGTGACTGGGGGTGGGCACGTCAGGAAAGGAGAGCAAATGGCATCTACATCGCTAAATTGTCCAGGTAGGAATTGTGGAATTGCTACATGTTTCATTGTGTGCACTTTCAATAGGGATAATAATAATAACGAAAGAATGACAGTTTTTGGCCATCAGAAGGCAACTTTGTCTATATCCAGACTCATATCTATATTTGTCTGTGTATATATATCTCTACCACAATTCAATTATATGCCTTTTTTTTACCAGAACCAGAACATGCCCGTAGCATGTGTGCCCTGACCTGTTTCCTTTCATTCATTACTGGTTGAATCCATTCTGTTGGTGCACTCAGATGACTTTGGGCGACAGTTATACCCAGTCACGACAGGGTCTTGCCTGCAAGGAACACAGGATGGCAAAGTGGGCAACTGTTGGGTCAGACGACATCTCCCACCTGTGACACCAACAAATGATTTCTTTTTGCGGAAACTCTTTTACAAAACAAAGCCTTCCCCACACTGTTTTTCTAAGTGAGAAAGAATGATAATCCTATGTTCTTTATAAGGTTGACCGCAACGTCGAATGAAGCAGCACATGTAAAGCACTTTCAGAGTACCTGGTACATCGGTAACATGGTTAAGTGGTCGCTATAACAGTGGGGATTCAGTAGCCACATAAAAACACAATCATTGCTTCGTTGCATAAAACCATTCCGGAAGAATGAGGCAGACCAGGTCAGGCAGTCATGAGATCTGCATTAGATGCCGTGGCAAGTAGCGGTGCAGGCAGGCTGCGTCTTCTTAGAACGGACCGTCATTTCACCTGGTTGACAACCAGAGAAACCTTAAATATTCCCATTCATTATGCCAGGCCCTATGCTACACAATTGAGCGATTTACATGAATAAGGCCAATTAATCTTCACTGACATTTATGGGCTTGGCATTTTTGTTGCCCTCCTTTGATAGACTTGGACCTCGGGCTCTGTTTCCAAGGTCACAGGCGCGGGTAGATGGCGGGGCTGGGACTCATACCCCGGGAGGCTGACTTGCAGGCAGCAGCTTAACTACTGCACATTCTGTGCTGCCTCCCACAGGGAGTCAGTGGGTCCTTGCTTGATACATATCCTCCTGTGGAGCCTGAAATCATATATACCGTATATACCCAAGTATAAGCCGACCCAAATATCTGCCAAGGCACCTAATTTTACAAAAACGGCATAAAAAATGTGCTGGAAAACTCGGCTTATACACGAGTATATACGGTATGTATTTTCAAAACGGAGGAGGAAATCAGAACTTTAATAGATGGTATCATTAAAAGAAAAAGAGTGGTCAGGGATCCCTTTGTATGGTGACCTCCTTCGTAATGGGATGAAATGCTGCCCGTCCTGTAGCAGACCCCTCATCTCTTGCGGCTCAGCTCACTGTGATTGTCCGAAGAGATCCCCAGCCTGTTCTTCTGACAAATACCCAGGGCTCCAATGGCAGACAAGCCATTGTCTGTCCACGCCTGTGAAGTGTATTGGTGGGGAATTCAATTCATTGTCTTCCTCATGGAAGGCAAGACCCTGCCACTCACGATTGCTAAAGAGAACAAGTGATCGGTGTCAAAACAGAAACCACTGTCTTTTGCATTTGGTTTTTAAAATTCAGGGCTAATGTCAGTGTTAAGCTGGCACACATTGGAGGGTGGGGTGTGTAGGCGGGGAAGGAACCATTGACACAGGAAAGCGAGTGTGCGTGGCACTTCCCAGACAATTAGCAGTGCCCTGATCGAACACTACATCCAGCCACCACCTGCCAGTCACGGAGCAAGGCCTCTTACCATCTGTGTATGGCCTCCGAACAAGTTGCAGCAAATGCCCCGATCCTGTAGGGTGATGGAGGCCTTGCCAGAGCCTTCTTTCAGCAGGGGCCCTTGTGGAAGGCACGTGGGTCCAGGGGAACCTGGTGGCCTCTTCCTGAAGACAGATTATTTGCAGGTGTTGGTTCTGGTGGTGATGGCATGATTCAGTGCTTTCAGGAGCATTTCTGAGATTTATTTTCTAATGCCAATGGCGGGAGCTGGTTACACCTGCAAAAGGGTTTTCCTAGTGCCATCCCATGGAGGTGTGGAGCTGAGAAGGTTCTGAGGCCAGTCAGGTATCCCTGACATCCAAGGAGGCAAGGTCACACTTGTGGGCTGTTTGACTTTCTCTCAGACACTCAACCCTGCCAACTGTGGTTCCCAAAACCTTAGGCTCCTTTTCTAGTCAGCAAGATAGCGCACCAACCCCTGGGCTCCGGCCACCTGTCTGCTCTCCTGTTTACGTCAGAAGCCAACCTGGGAAATGGCCTGTGATAACAAAGAACTGTCACAGATGTGTGAGCCAGCTACTCTTCTAAGCCAGACTTTGCCACCAGGCAGCAGTATAGAATCTAGATTCCGGACTCGGGCCCCTCCGAATCCGTGGTCACTCTTGGGTGGCACGACCTTCCTCTTACTCTTGAGGATTGCTCTAAGAATTCTTATGGAGTGTGTACTTTCTCTATTTCCTAAAAATTGTTCCTAAGAGTACTCCATCGAACTGTTCAGTGACTTTATAATTGGTCTCAAATGAAAAACTGTCCTTACAACTTAGCCCCAGGACCGAAACTGTTATAGGAATTTGGCTTTTAATGTATTCATTGCAACAAGACAAACAAGGAAACTCAGCCTCACATTTGTGTGCCATCACCCCAGTTAGATGAACCTTTGTGCTTATTTTCGATCTGTAACCTTGATGTGTTTTCTTTTATTAACTCGATGCATGTCCTGGACCACAAGTTTTCCTAACTGGAAAGGAGGCTGCCTATGGCATCTTAAAAGATGGATTAAATAGAAGTATGCTGGGATTAAAGTAAATTTGTCTATATTATATCCCAAATTGAAAATCCATGAACATAGAATGTCATCACAACTAACTACTCACCCACTGCTCTCAAAGTGGCTCTAACGCATAACGCCCTATAGAGAGATTGGAACTGCTCCTATGGTTTCCAAGACTGTACATATTTACAGGCTCCGACAGCCTCATCTTTCTCCCTCGGTGGGATCCCAGATGATCTAAAATAGGGATTTCTCCTGGTACATCTATCACATGACTTACACTCGTCCATGCATTCAGAACTTACTTATTCCACAAGACGGAACCACTGACAATATTGCACTTTGTCTGACTGGTGATATCATGCCCATCACGGCTTCATTTTTCTATCTACAGATTCAGTTGGCCACTACAGAATTGCAGGCAAATATTAACATGTGGTCTTACTGCAGCATGATGAACTTACCTTTTGTATTCACTTAAATCTGCCCATTCGTTTCCCTCTTGCCCTCCCCACTGCCTGCAGTGTTAAGACTGTCACCGGCATTCTTCCTGCACCATTGGTGGCTGTCCCATGGGCGTTACCCAGGAGCATCTTAGGAACATCGAATCTTGGGCTCGGTCCCAGACCTATGATCACTCTGCAGTTTGTAATATCTCTGCGTATTGCCCATGCACATGAAAGTGTGAGAAACGTTGTTCTCTGTGACCGCAGAACCATGGGAATGGGTTGGCCTATGTCCCTGTTTGTCTTTATACATTCCTTTATACAACATCGCTTCCATGAAATTATTCTCCCATTCCCTTGGCCAATTATGAAAAGGTGCTTCTTTAAAAGCACCCTGATGTTTTTGTGTTAAAACACTACCAGACCTTTCCACTGATTTAGGGGGTCTTGGCGGGGCCACTGTTTTTAATGTACTTCACAGGATCTACTGGTAATCAGACAACACTCATCTGTGATAAAAAATGAGCCGACTTAACATGCCCTTCCCTGACTTTCTTTTCCTACTATACCAAGATCATGACTATACTGAACTGTCCTCCGAGCACACAGAGCATTTCCACATCGCAGTCCTATGCTAGTTCTTCCCACCACTGGGGTGTCCCCAGGCTTTCCGTGTTGGGATTCTTCCTGACCTTGCGCAGAGGGCACTGATGGAGATGACACCGGTCCGCCCAGCAGAACGAAGGATCCCCGCTTCCTTGCACCCATCCCTCCTTGTTTTTCTCTTTTACTCCCTGTCCTCTCCTGCCTAGTTCCTAGCTGTATCATTCTTTGTGCTTTTAAAATTGGTGATATATATAGTAACTTATACACACACCAAAATTTTGCAACATTTTCATCTGTACAGCTCAGTGGCGTTAGCTTTGTCTGTCACGTTGTCCAACCATTACCATTAACCATTTACAATTTCCCGTCACCCTCTTCCCCATACCTAGCACTGGCCTAGCAAGATCCTTCCAGTACAGACTTGTGTGTGTGATATCTTTGTGCTATTTCACCTAATGTCTGAAATTTCCTATTATAAAGTTCTTATGTATATATTGAACTGAATCGGGATACTTTTAAGAATTCATGTCCTCAACAGGAAAGTGGGTAAAGGGAGACGTCAGACAGTATAAGACATGACAAAATAATAAAAATTTATAAATATTCAAGGGTTCATGAGGGAGGGGGGTGGGGAGGGAGGGCAAAAAATGAGGAATGATACTAAGGGCTCAAGTAGAAAGCAAATGTTTTGAGAATGATGATGGCAACAAATGTACAAATGTGCTTGACATGATGGATGGATGGATGGATTGTGATAAGAGTTGTACAAACCCCCAATAAAGTGATTTAAAAAAAAGAATTCATGTCCTATTGAACATCATTGATTAAAGGTCCTCAAAGTCACAAATAATTTTATGTGAACAACAGAGTATGTAGAATATAGAACACTGAGTGATTTTGTTTAAAGGGTTTTTTAACCACAGATAGCCTTGCTGGCCTCTCATAGTAGTTTTTATTCGTAAACACCAACCCGTTCCATTCGCCTGACCGCGGGAGCTTTTCTCGTCCCGCCAAGACCAGGGGCTTCTCCCAAGGCTCTGTGACTAACATTTAAAGAGCTAGTGAGTTCTTTTTAACTTTGGTGCTGGCACTTCTTATAACAAAATCTTTTGCTTTTTCACACATTTTTAAAAATCCCTATGTAAAAAATTATATTATGCCCAGTCTGCTCGAATGTTTACTTAAGGCTTGTCATACTAAATTTTTCTTTTGATTTCAGCAATACAGCATAACTTAAAAGTATTTTATTGCCCTCCTACAGGTGGTTAATAGTGAAAGACTCCTTTTTACTGTACATGAAACCAGACAATGGTGCTGTTGCTTTTGTTCTACTGGTAGATAAGGCATTCCGAGTTACAGTGGGGAAGAAGGAGACAGAGACTAAATATGGACTCCGAATCGATAATCTCTCAAGGTAGGAATTTTTAATATCCTTAAAAATATTCTCACTAAGATATCTTTAAAACACTTACTGCTTCACCTTTAAGTGATATATGTAAAATAAACCAGATGTCAAAAATTGTTATTTAGAACCTATCCTCAATGAAAAGTAATGAAAATAAATGTTCTTGTGTATATTTCTCAAAGAGAGAATATACTGTATAAAACAGAAACCAAAGTAAAAAATCATGGTAGAAGACATCTATTTAGCAAAGTTTACTGTCCCATGATACCAAAAATGATAAAAATCAAACCTTATAAACATATAACATTTAATCACACAAGTGGTTTTATTTCTAAAATGTCAGCTTATGTACATACTAAGGGAGATAAGAGGAATAGTCAAATGTACATTGGCTGTAGCTGTGACTGGTGCTTGTGTGGGTGCATGTGGGTATGTCCAGCTGCATTGACTTCTGGAAGACTGTAGTTGTAGCGTGGGTGTCTCTCTCCATAGTTATATTTCTGAAGAGCTCAGGCTCATGGCTAGGAACATGCACCTATAGCCACACTTTCCTTCTGTATCCAGAAACCACCCCCCAACACATACACAAGGGGGGATCTTCTAAAAGCTTATGAAAACTGTAATGAAAAGGTAATGGGATTGTTTTCACTAATTTTTGAAACCCCTACGTGTGTGCGTGCATGTGTGTGTGTGTGTGTGTGTGTGTGTGTGTGTGAAAAAGTATTGCTACTGATGTTTTGGTTTCTTCCAAACAAAACACGTTTTCATAGGAGTCTGAGTTCAACTCACTTGACTGATGTCATCAGTCTGGCGGAGATCGGTGGACGGCTTTGTAACATGCTTGTGTTAGTCTGGCTAGAGTGCCTTCTGGATAAAGTCCAATTAAGACACTGTCTCCCCACCCCCAGCAGTTCTAATGCAATCTAGTTCACTTATCATAGAATTCAGTATTTCAGTAAAACAATGTTTTATGAGGGGGTCTGTTGTTCCAGTTAAATTCAAGGCCAAGAGGTCAGCTCAGAAGGTTAGATCAGCTTTTTTTCTTTTTCTTTTTCCTGATTCCAAAGGGATCATCTTGTTAGGTTTTTCTCCAAGGAGACTATCATGGGGGTTTATAGGAGAAAGTTTAAGAAAATGGAAAACTGCATTGGTGAGGAAAAGGCTGGGGAAGTTACTTGAAGCATCGTGTCCCATCACCACAATTCACTTGCCCATTCTTTGAGGGTCTTAAGGGCTGTCTTATAAAAATTTCACTAGGGTATCTTTTTTTTTTTGAGATGTATAATTTAAAAAAAAATCATTTTATTGGGGGCTTTTACAGCTCTTATCACAATCCATACACCCATTGCGTCAATCACATTTGTACATGTGTTGCCATCATCATTTTAAAAAAATGTTCTTTCTACTTGAGCCCTTGGGATCAGCACATCACCCTTGGTACTCATGCCAACTTGGGTACAAGGGAAAGCATCTCTTTCTAAACTAGTCCACGGATTCTCTCTCCTTGGTTGGCTGGGACTGGGCCACACACTCAGCCCTGCCCCAGTGTGTGAAGCTAGGGGGACGGAATATGCTACGTTGCCTAGCATTAGTGGGTCACCAGAGAGGAAGAATGCTCTTAGAAAGACCAAGTAGGATGTTCGTTTCCAGAAAGCAAGGGAATGAACACCAGGGAACAGACAGAGAAATGCCCTCTGCTGGAGCTGTCTGCTCTCGACCCAACTCCTGGAAGGCGGGCCTTGCCTTACCCCTCCTTTGGTAAGCTCCTTACAGCCACGGCGCAGCTCTACAGGTCCGTACCTGTTCCTATGAGTGAAGAAGGGAGTGCGTGAACATGGCACCTGAGATTTACCTTTGATATATAGAATATGTATATAGACATTCTACCAAAACAAAGTTGAGAGCCAGCTCTTTTGAAATAACCGTGAGATGCTGTTTGCCTAGGATCTAAAACGTGCCGCAGTAACCAAGTGGCATGCGGAATCCTTAGCTGTTTGGGGTAAAGACGCAGAACATAGTGTGACCCTTCTTTTCTACACTCTGCTTTTCTTTGAAGGTCCCTTGTCTTAAAATGCAACAGCTATAGACACGCTCGCTGGTGGGGGGGCGCCATCGATGAATTCATCCAGAAGCATGGCGCGAACTTTCTCATAGATCATCGGTTTGGATCCTACGCTGCCGTGCAAGAGAGCACTTTAGCTAAATGGTAAGCCCTTTTGCTCTAAGGCCGTGAAGTGTAGCGTCTAGGACTACAGAGGACTAAATTCACCTGGAATCAATTTTCAAAATTGTGAAAAATACTTCTTAGGTACCTTGCTTTTTAAGGCAGTCATGGGACAGTTACAGTGGCATGGAGGTGCTGTGGGGTGGGTCCTGCCACGTGATGAGGCCGCCTGCTCCCACAATGATTTCTAGTCCCCGAAACCCTAAGGGGCAGTTTTGCTCTCCCCAATCGTATTGCTGTGAGTCAAAACCAACTCAATGGTAGTGGGTTTGGACTGATTTGCTTTGGTCTTAGGACTAACTTGCTATAGAGGAGTTTTCCAGTGGTTGTTTTTATGAGGGTTTTTTCCACAGTGAGCTCTAGATAGCTTATTTGGAAGTCTTGTTTTTAAAAGCTGCCGGCGACTTTCTAACCTCACATTTTCTTAATGGTGCAAATGGTAGGCATGTTTAAGTTACTAGTTGTGCTTTAGGAAAGGGAATTCAAGGCCTAGCTATTCTTTTACATAAAATCTGGTTTAGTATGTTTTCCTACCCATGAATTGGAGACTCACCTGCGTTAAATCTCAGAACAACTGTCTGTGAGTTTAACCAAACAGCACCAACTATTACCATTGATTTGATCCTGACACCCAAAGGTGCTATTAACTCGTGGAGAGGCTACAGACAGCGTGGAACTGCCCCAGACGTTTCCAAGGCTGTCATCTTTAGGAGGCAAACCGGCACCTCCTGCTGCACAACAGTTGGTGGGTTCCAACCGCTGACCTTTTGGCTAGCCACCAACTAAAGAATCATAACACCACGGAAGCACCTTGTGAGGTCTACAGGTTCTACGGTTCACTGTTTTCCAGCCACACACAGTCAACTGGAGGGGGTGCATAGATGCTAGGCTGAGACTTCCAGGTGTTGCTTTGCCACAAGGTCTGTGCTTCTTTTGCTTAAGGATTTTTATAAAAAACAACTTGTGTTTTAGGTATGTTAATGCCAAAGGATATTTCGAAGATGTCGCAGATGCAATGGAGGAGGCTCAAGAAGAGATTTTTATCACAGATTGGTGGTCAGTATCTGCCCATGGGGATTTTGTCTAGTTGTCGCTATGCTTAGAAATTTACAACAAGGTGGTGCTATTCAAGAATTGTACATTCTGAAAGCTGGCCCTACCCACGGATGGATGGTTTTGCCAACGTCTCACCAATTAACTGCAACCACATCCAGTCAAAGGCCTGTTCAAAACATTCGGCCTCCAAATATATTCTTTTAAATATTTAGCTTGAACAGCTTTCTCTCTGTCTTTCCATTTGGAAGGAGACTGCCAAATATCCATTTTAGTAATGATTGTGCTGCAAGGGAAATGTGGTTATGGGGAGTTATGGAAAATATTCTCCTTGGGCACCTTTCCTCCTTCGGGTGTGTCTGTTACCAGGTCCAAGGGACATACTTTGTCTGGGTTGTGTCTTTTGATGTTGAAATAATTCCGTTTGCCCACAACTGGTAAAAATGTCCTCTGTTATGACTAGGCCTGGTCTGTGATTCTGGCAAGACACCTGGTTTTGACTTTCTGATCCTTTTAAAGTTTGTGAGACTTACGATGCTTATTAAGGTCAACAGAAGTCGTGCGTGTAAAACTCATTTAGCTCTTGGGAAATTTTACTCCAGGAATTGACGTAGGCTTTGTAGTCTGACTTCAGTTCAATGACCGGTCTGCCTGAACATTACAAACCCATTGCAGATGCCCAAAGTGGCTACAGTGGAAAGGGAAATGTCTACACTCTGTTTTTCTTCTAAGATTGCCTCCAGTGCCCTTTATACCCCCTTCCCCAAATGATGATACTTCTAATTCTAGATTTTGGAGGGAGAGAAGAGTAATAGGAATATGAACTCATTTTCTTCTACTGTTTTACTTTAGTTATATAAAAATATCTAATTCCAAGATAATCTCGTATTTCTCAATGTTGGCACTATCAACATTTGGATTGGACGATTCTGTGTTGTGGGAGCTAGACCTTGCACTATAGGGTGTTCAGCAGCAACCCTGACCTGGCCTCTGCCAGTTCTTTTTATCTCAGTAGCATCCTCCCAGGTGTGGTAACCAAAAATGTCCCTAGACTTCCCAATCCCAGATGTAACAACCAGTGATGTCTCTAACCATTGTCAAATGTCCTCTGCAAGGTGGGGCCAGGATGTGTTTGTCTGGTGGTAGGGAGGTGGGGAGGTGGGGGTTGAGTTTAACATCTCCCTAATTGGCAATTACTGAATGAACTAGTGTCAATAGGCTAATAGATAGGTATATATGTGTGACACTATATGTGTGACACTATGTCTGTGAAGTTATTTCTCTTGTTTGTAGAAGAGCTTAATATTACCCTTTATAATTATGCTAAATTTGTCTTTTTAGTCAGTCATGCTTAGGGGCGTTTTCTTCTTTGAATATCTTGTAAACACTTAAGAAAAAAAATTCATGCTTAATGAAGTATTATGTTGTTTTAAAAACAAATATTCCTGGCAAAGACCAAAATTGTTTCACCATCGAGTATATATTTTTATTCTTTGTGCAAGAAAATAACATCTCTGTTGAAGGCCCTGAGCTCTAAAACACGACTTTGTCATGTAAACATCTGAACCCTGAATGTTTTTGCCTCTGTCAACAAAAGAAGGAAGCGAGGAAAATAAATAAATAAATAAATTTTTTAAAAAAGAAGGAAGCGAGGCATTTCTTTTTCGGAAGGGCATTAGAATAACATCTTGTTCCAACATGCCACTGGAAATAAGGCCCTCACAGTCCCTGTTCCTCATCACAGGTGACGCAAAGCCTCAGCATGCGCAGTATTTACAAAAGAAAGCAGAACTGTAACGGAATCTGGTGGCTTTAGATCTGAGCAAATGACAAGCATAATTAGGGGCGCACTTGTCCTCAAGAGGCTTCTAATGATATGGTTTTTTAACGTGGTGCTAAGTTTCTAAAACAACGTTCCAGCCAGGTCAAATGAGAAACAAGAGTCAATCCTAGAGACCTAGGAGAGCTCTGTTCTGCATGTTGGTGAAGTCCTTTATTCACCTATTCATATATTTGTTAATCTGCTTATCCGTTCAAGAGTTATCTCATGAATACTTTGGGTCAGGTACTGAGCTTGGCTGTATGAATATCAAGATGAGTGAGAAGCAGCCCCGGCTTTCAAACAAAGTATAACAGGATCTTAAACAACAACAAAAAGGGTTGGGGGAAACTCAGTGTTGGGGACCAATAGAGAAGGCACAGTAGCCTGCAAGCATGGTAGGCCCTTCACAGAGGAGAACACCTGGGCTAACCAGGGGACTGGGTGAAGAGAAGGAGATGAGTGAGTTAGGCAGAGGAATAGCCAGGACTGAGATATAGATGTAGGAAAGCAAGCAACATTTATGGAGGACAGTAGTAGCTCTGTGTGATTTGAGGATAAGGTCTGTTAGGACCATGGGTGGAGAAGACACTCAAAAGATAGGTTAGGCTAAGTTGTGAAAGGCACCGGAGGAGTTGCTAAGGAGTTTGGACTTAACCCTGTGAGCAGTTGGAGCCACTGAAGAGTTTTTAAGCATGGGAGTTTTATTTGAATTTGTTCCTGAAAGGAGCCATCCTGGCAGCTGTGTAGAAGATGAATTGAAAAGGAGTTAAGGAAGGTACAGTGGCATCTAGGAAAAAGGAGTCTCAGCACAAACTATTTTAGGAGCCCTTGCCCAACTACTACTCACTTGGGGGCAAGTCACATTAACATTTTGGGGGTGGGGGTGGGGTAGTTCCTAAGGCATTGTAGAAGTAGCATCAATAATAATAGCTTCTATTTACTGAATTCTTATTAGGTTCCAGGGACTGTACTATAGATGAGAAAAGTGGGCTATACAAGGGTAAATTAAAAATTATTGCTACTGTGGCTCCAGTTTTTACATGAACAATTCTAAGCAAACTATATTTAAACACATCTCTGTGATCAGTAGATGGCTGTAGACATGCTCTCTAAGTATTAGGCTTGTCTTGGTTTGGTTAGGGAACCTTTAAAAATTGGTTCAACCAAAATAGTGGCTTCTGAAGGAATTTGCTCATCTAGTTAAATTCAAGGCAGACAAGTCAGCTCAGAAATTTATATCAACATTTTATTACTATGATGATTTTAAATTCCAAAGAAATGGTCTTGATAGATTTTCTCAAAGGACACAGGACGACGAAGGGGCTTGTTAGGAAAAACATTTAAGAGAACTGAGGACTCCATTGGTGAGGGAAACAAAAAAGCCAGAAAGGTCAAGGTCAGGTATTCTTTCCCCTTCTCCCCCCCATGAAGACAACGTACCTGCTCATTACTCTAGGGCAGCAGAAGCCGTCCTGTGGGAAATCTGTATTGGGAAGCCCTACCCATCTACCTTACAGTCTTTATATTTCCCGTTCACATTTCTTTTTGTTCCCCAGACTCGAAGAACATTGAAAAGGAACACAATTTGAATCCCTCAAGGTTGCCAACTTTGAGGGGCAGAACTATTCAGGGAAAGTTAGAGACATGGAAATATTGCCTTTAGACCCAGACGGGAGGCTAGATTGTTGGGATTTATATTAGGATTTATTGTATCTGTAGATTGCCTTAAGTAGTATTGGTATTTTCATTGTATTAAGTCTTCTAATCCATGAACACAAAGTATTCTTCCACTTACATAGATCTCTTTTTGTCTCTTGTAGTAGTGTTTTGTAATTTTCATTGAATAACATTTATGTTGCTAATTGATTTCTATGCATTTTATCATTCGATATCACATGGTATTGCTTTTCTTGATTTTATTTTCAAAAGATTTTTTGTTAGTGTAAAAGAACCCAACTGATTTTCAAGTATTGACTTGTACCTGGAAATATTGCTAAATTCTTCTATTAGTTCTATAATTGTTCTTGTGAAATATAAAAGGATCATGCCATCTGTGTGTACAGAGAATTTTACTCTTCCTTTCTGATTTGGCAGCTTTAAAAAAATCATCTTATTGGGGGCTCACGCACTCTTATCATAATACATATGCACATACATTGTGTCAAGCACATTTGTACATTTGTTGCCATCATCATTCTCAAAGCATGTGCTTTCTACTTGAGCCCTTGGTATCAGCTCCTCATTGTTTTTCCCTCCCTCCCTGCCCCCCTCTCATGAACCCTTGATAATTTATAAATTATTATTATTTTGTCATGTCTTACACTGTCTGACTTCTCCCTTCACCCGCGTTTCTATTGTCTATCCCCCAGGGAGGGAGTTATATGTAGATCCTTGTAGTCAGTTTCCCCTTTCTACCCCACCCTCCCGGTATCACCACTCTCACCACTGGTCCTGAAGGGATCATCTATCCTGGATTCCCTGTGTTTCCAGTTCCTATCTGTACCAGTGTACATCCTCTGGTCTAGCCGGATTTATAAGATAGAATTGGGATCATGATAGTGGGGTGGGAGGAAGCATTTAAGAACTAGAGGAAAGTTGTATGTCTTGCCGTTGCTACACTGCACCCAGATTGGCTCATTTCCTCCCTGCGACCCTTCTGTAAGAGGATGTCCAGTTGTCTACAGATGGGCTTAGGTTCCTACTTCGCATTCCCCGTCATTCACAATTATATGAATTTTCTTGTTGGCTACCTTTTATATCTTACCTTACTGCTTGGCTAGGGCTTCCAGTATAATATTAAATAAAAGTAATGATAAAAAGCATCCTTGCCTTGTCCCATTATCAAAATAAAGCTTTCAGTCTTCTCCATTGAGAATCATGTTGGCTGCTGGTTTTGCATATATCCTAAATTATGTTAATGAATTTCCCTTCTAGTCTAATCTTGATAGGAGTTTTTATCAGGAAAGGGTGTTGAAGTTTAACAAATGCCTTGTCCATATCCTCTAATAGAACCATGTGGTACTTTTTCTTTGTTTCATTCATGTGTTAGATTCTGTTGATTGGTTTTCTAATGTTGAACCACCTTCAGCAATAGGTTGAAGTCCTGGTATAGATCTCACTTGATCATAGAATATACTTTTCTTTTTTTTTTCATAGTTAAGCAATTCTTTTTTTTTTAAAT